CCCCCCCCCCCTCCCCCCCCGCCCCCCCGTCCCCTCTCCCCTCGCCCCCCCCCCCTCCTCCACCCCCTCCCCCCCTCCCCCCCCAGCCCCCCCCCCACCCCCCTCCCCCCATCCCCCCTCCCCCCTCCCCCCCCTCCCCCTCCCCCCGCCCCCCCCCGCCCCCCCCTCCCCCCTCCCTCCCCCCTCCTCCCCCCCCTTCCACTCACTCCCCCCCTCCCCCCCCCCCCCTCCCCTCTCCCCCCCCCCCCCCCCCCCTCGCCTCCCCCCCCTTCCCCCCCCTCCTCCCCCCTCCCCCCCCCCCCCCCCCCCCCCCCCCCCCCCTTCCCCCCTCCCCCCCCCCTCCACACCCCCCCCCCCCTCCCCCCCTCCACCCCGCCCCCCCCCCCCCCCCGACCCCCACCTCTTACCCCCCCCCCCCCCCTCACCCCCCCCCGTCACTCCCTCTCCCCCCCCACCCCCCCCCCTCCCTCCCCCAACACCCCCCCTCCTCCCCTCCCCCCCTCCCATCCCCCCCCCCCCCCCCCCCATCCCCCCCCCCTCCCCTACCCCCCCCCCCCCTCCCCCACCTCCCCTCCCCCCCCTCCCCTCCTCTCTCCCCCACCCCCCCGCCCCCCCCTCCCCCCCCCCCCCCCTCCGCCCCCTCCCCCCCCCCCCCCGCCCTCCCCCTCGCTTTCCTCCCCTCTCTCTCCTTCCTTCCCCTCTTTTCCCCTGCCCCTTTCCCCCCCTTCGCTTTTCTTTTTGCTCTTCTCTTCTTTGTTCCTTCCCCTTTCCTCCCTTTCAGAGAGCTATTGATCGATAGAGACGAAAGTCAATAGACAACTGCAGCCGGATCTGGCTTATCACTTTTTGCACGTTCTGGATGAGAAATGTCTCTGCAAGATGAGTACCCTGACTTCTTTCAGCAATTCAAAATCAGCTGCGTGCCAATGCAATTCAAAAACAGCAAAATGTTGACCCCTCCGCTTACAACCTAGATTTGAGCTTCAAGTGATTATTTTTTATTCTCCAAAGGGAAATATGATTTTCATAGAAAGAAATTTGATGATTATCATAATGACATGTGTGTGTGTGTGTGATTTATGGCAAAGCCTCGAGGGCTATCTGCCTAAGAGGAGGGATGCCTACGTGGAGGACTTTCTAAGGGAACTGGCTCGTATACACGTTAACACAGGGGAAAACCACGAAAACGCCCATGCAGCCAGCCCGTTCGCGGGATTCGAACCTCGGACCGAACTACCAGTGTTCAGCGACTTTACCGCTCGGCCGCTGTTGGGCCTCATAATGACGTGAAAAGAACAGTTACAAAATATTTTGAGGATGAATTTTAGATTACTTTTTCAGAAGTAAAGATTTGCTCGTAAAACGATGTGAAAAATGTATCGAGGTAAAAGGAGATCATATTGAAAAATAAAAACTCATTAAAAAATAAAACTCTTTAAAATTTTTCCAAATTCTTTTTGAAATACACCCGAAGGAAGCCTTTGGGTCTTAAATCGCATACATTAACAGGTTCTCCGCGAAAGTACTTCCAAAACATTGGCAAGGTTGACAGATGAGGGAAAATTCTGTTGTCGGATCCGTAATGATTTGGAGACTTTTCATTCAAAAATTTACGAATATTGAGATTCCAATATACGAGTAGTAACCATGTTTTAGGATGTAATCTTGAAATCTTCATCCAGTTTGGGAATTAATCTTTTTTGTTTTTTTACCCCTTCCATTATAACACTGATAGCTAGTTCTGGTTAGATTCATATCGAACGTGGCTGCGTACAATTTTCGAATTTTTCTCATGTGTACTTTGATTACTAGTTGTGAGTTCCATTCGAATATTCTCCATGAAAGCATCTCTCCTAAAGAAGATGACTTCACATGATTTATGATAATCGACAAACCAAAGAAACAGTCTTTAACATTCGCAATATCTTTTATCAGTCGAATGAATTTTTATTGTAAGAAAGACTTATTTGAACTTGAGCAGTACATCATATGCCAGCTAACTCTATTTTAGATATTACCAATAAAACGACTGATAGATAATATTTTTACAGATTATTATTTTTATCATATCCTTACAATATAAGCATAATTTTAAAATTATAAGGATTTAATGTTACTTCATGCTTTCTCTTAACTGTTACCCCGCTTAATCAGTTAATTCCGCAGTCTTTAAAGTTTTAAATTTCGCGAATATTATACCTGTTTACGATTTATTTCTACCCACACAAAAAACAAGTTTGTAACTCCTTACCTAATTTAATTTGATGTTTTCATTTCAGTCCGCCCACCAGCGGCCGAGCGGTAAAGTCGCTGAACACTGGTAGTTCTCCGAGTTCGAATCTCGCGAACGGCCTGGCTGCTGGGCGTTTTTAGTTTTCCCCCTGGTAACGTGTATACAAGCCAGTTTCCCTTAGAAAGTCCTCCACGAAAGGCATCCCTCCCCTTATGCAGATAGCCCTCGTGTGCTTTGCCATAATTAAATACACACATACATTTCAGTCCCTTCTCCAAATCTTCAAATCAACAGCATTGTTGCGTTTATTTTTTTCTCTTTCTTCGCGTCTCAGTTTTTCTGAAAAACTGGGTTTCTCACCACTTCATTAGAAAGATAAACATGTTTTGTAAATATATCTTCATTTTATCGGCTACTATAGAAGCAACAGAACGAAACTAAGCCTTGTCAAACGTGTTATTTTATGCTAATGTTATGCTAGAAGTAGCCCTAACGGTTTGTGTCAAATCTTCCACAAAACATTCAAAATTGTAAACCTATTTTTTTAATTTCTATGATACCCATACTAACAATTAATTTTATTATTTCATTATAAACAATAGAATAGCTCAAAAATGTCGTAACTTTATATGTTTATATTCTAGTCTTTTTAAAGAATCCCCCAGAAGTAACCGGAAATAAAACCAACTATACAGTTTCTGTCTTGTGTTTATATTTAACTGGGCAATTAAAAATGGATACAAGAAGACAAAATCCCAAAGCATGTGTGCCATTCAACGGCGACATAAATTTTACATAAAAAATGAAGCAAAATAGTGCTTACAACAAGGTATATTTAATTTTTGAACAATCTTATTTAGTCTGCTGATGCTATTCCAATTAGCTTTTATGTGATAAGTCTGTTGCAACAAACTGTAGGCAGCTGGGTAGCCGCCCACACTCAATTAGCGGACTTCAGAAAGCTTGTTATGGTAAAGTAAAATGAACAATGCCTACAGTTCAGATTAAGGGAGATCGTACAGAATTTCTAACGTCAACAGAACGATACTTTGTAGGTAAGTTTAGACCATACAGCTCAGCACCTTAATGTAAATAAGCGTGTATAAACTTTAATACATTAGTTCATGCATTTAACATTAGAAAATAAATATATGTAGCGCTTTGAAACTTCAGCATTTTTGAGCGCAGATTAATCTTATTAATTTTCTCATAATTCAAATGGCTTATTTATAACATAATTTTTTATACTTCTTGATGTGTTCCCGATTTGAAAGTTAATATTCATAATTTCTTTCTTTAAAATAGCTTTCTAAATTTCCACAGTTAATTTGGCGCCTCTACTAGTTATTCACCCTTGTCCCGCCTCTGAACTCGCTCAATTTTTGTTCTCCGGGAGACAAACTTTTTGTATTGTGCTTTTCAAAATGAGTATAAAATTTTCCTAAATATAAGTATAGGGGGCTGGAGGATCACATAAAAAGTTAAATTTCGTAATTTGTCTAAAATTGATTTTTTTAAAGTTTGAAATCGCCAAAAAATGAATATTAGCGTTATTTATAACAATTTTATAATTGCAAATATATGGCTGCGACCAACGGGTGCGAGAATAAAGGCGGTGTATATTTACTCTTGTCTAACTTTCTTCTATCTAAAAGGCGAAATTTACACTAAATTCACGGTTGACTTTTATAAAGATTCATATATTTTTTCTTAATAATAATTCCTAGACTTAACTACTTTATCTAATTTAAGTATTATTAAATTCTACTATATACCTACTAAGCTCCTATTTTTATGTACATTAATTTTTTTTCAAATGCACTATAATTTAATTAAGATTAATCACTGATCAGGAGAAACAAACTCTCTTAGCCCCGAAGTTGATTCTCTGAAAGTAGGCTTAGTATATCTTTCTGAAAATTCAGTTATCTTTCATTAACCTTCATCCAAGTTTATATTGTCTGCATACTTCACTCGTGTTTCATATTGTACAGCAATTTCTGTTAGAAGAACGACTTCAAGAAGCGTTTCATTTGATGTCGATGATGTACTTTAAAATAAGCGAGTATTTTGTGACTAAATATGTCTTAGTTATTCATTTACCATGTTACAGATAAAATAGTTCTATAAAAGTAAAATTCAGATTTAACAGTCTATTAGTAACTGAGTGAGAGAAATTTCAGAATACTCTGATTCCGTAAAAATGTATGTCGTAATGTGATCTTGGCTGCTGTTTGGTAGAAGTTTGTTTTCAGCAGCACAAGGAAGTACGCTTAGGCAGTAATTTAAGACACTGTACAACCATCTGCCCTTCGTTCATCACGGTTGAAGAAATTATCATGAACTCTGTTAGACTCTGTTGTTTCTGTTGTAGTCAAGGGATCGGATGAAGAGTCAGAACTGTCGCATTTTACCAGGACTTTTTCAATGTACTGAAGTATAAGATGTTCGTCCCACTGGCTTCGGGGAGGGCTGTGGATCCGCGGGTGACGCAGTTTCAATCCTAAGCGTTCCAGTTCTAGCATCATGACTTCATAATCGTATCCTTCGTGCCGGATATCGTGTTCGACAAAATCAGCTCCAAGAATTTCTTCAGGAGGAGCGAGTCGAATGGGTATGAAGTAATTAATTACCTAAATACAAAAATATAAATAATAATTTTAGTTTAATAAACTTGAAATAATCTTTTACATGAATACCTGTTAAATCAGTTATACTAATTAATATAGCATATGTTAGCTTTTGTCAATTTTCATTTAAAGATGCAATTTTGATTGATCATTCAGTGGATTCCCTTAGATTAGGGTAAGTTATTTGAATATGGCAAAGCACACGAGACTTATGATAAGCTGTCTGCTTAAAGGAAGATATGCCTTCCTGGTGGACATTCTAACGGAAATTGGCTCCTTTTCATATAAACCTTAAGCAAAAACACAAAAACCAGTCATGCAACCAGCCTTTTCGTTAGAGAACCATCCCGTGTCGAACTTCCAGTATTCAGCGGTCTTAGGCCATTGGTGGAGTGGATTCTTTTAGAATTTTATCTAGTATATCAAATATTACAGAAATTTGATCACTTAAAATAAAATAAGCTTATTATCACTTATTTAAAAAGAATTAAAGTAAGTTTAGACTTTTTGTTTGTTTTACTTTCAAATTTTATGCACTACTTTTCAGCTGCGTCTACACAAAACATTGTATAATACTCACATATAAAGGAAATTAAAAGGAAGGATTAGTTAGTATTTTTAGCTCAAAGGTCGTTACCCCAGAAGAACTATTTCGTTTTGGCATTTTGCGTCGATTCACTTTCTGCGTTGATTAACTTTTCAAACTGTTGCACCAACTATTAGAGCCCCGTGTTATATTTAAAGAAATTAAATAATGAAGAATCTACATAAATGTATGTATGTTTCTCACATTGTGATAAAACAACGGTACCTAGAGCCATCAAATTTTGAACAACATAATCCTCCAGCGAATATGGGCATCTGGAAGCCCTAACTTACAATCTGAAATTCGTTTTAGTATCTATTTCATATTTTGTCAGACATTAAAGAATTTTTTATTAAGAAACTCAACGATTTCAAAGCGAGGAATGGCAACACTGTACACACAAACAAAACAAAAACAAAAACAAAAAAAAAAGCATTTTTTTTTTTATCTCCACTTTCTGAGACTGTGTATCGGTAATTCTAAAGATATGCTCATTTTAAAATTATTTTGCGATATTGCTGTTGAACTGAATTTTATGGTTTAAATGCGAAGAACATGATAAATGCGAAGAACATAACTTTTATTATTTGTTTTAATTTGGCAGTATATCGTGAATCTGTGCAATTTTTAATAATATTCATTTTCTCATAATGATGACCTACCAGCGGCAAAGCGGTAAAACTGCTGAAGAGTGGTAGGTTGACTTGGGCTCGATGTCAAGCGAACGGGCTGGCTGCACGGTCTTTTTCGGAGTTTTTTCCATCTATAATGTGGATGCGAGCCAATTTCCTTTAAAAGTTTTCCACGAAGGCATACCTACCCATAGGCATATAGCCTGTCATAATCGAACCAAATCTTTCACACAATATCACATGAAACATTTTACATCTGAGAACTTGTAAATTAAATTAAAATTGCTCGTCTTAATGAAATGTTAATTAATGAAATGGCAAAAATTTTACGAGCCATAGAGGAATTAAATATTCTTACTGGCATTCCTAGTTTAAATAATGATTTTTCTGAATTGTCTAAAAGAGACTTTGGAATATATTGCTCTTTGCTTCTTAAAATCCACCGGTGGCCGAATGTTTAAAGCTACTGTACCTCTTAGGTGAATCTCCCTAGCTTATTTCCCGATGACGGAAATATCTAGTTACGTGAGTGCTTCCGTGTCGCCCCCATGCGAAATGTTAACGCTAATCAGTTTTCTTTTTAAAAAATTCGCTAGTGAGGTATGTCTTCTTAGGCAGCAGCATTTAGCTTTGCGTGCTTTATAATTAACTAGACAAACTCTTGGTTAAAGATCCAAACCGCACCTTGTTTTCCTATTTGAAATTAGAAAGTTTTTTTTTTTTTTTTTTTTTTTTTTTTTTTTACTATATTTTAAAGGAATGGAGAAAATTTTAAAGTGAACGCTTTCTTATTGCAATTATCCTTTATCAATGAATGGAAAAGAGTCAAATATAGAGTGATTTAAAAACTGGGGATGCACTTCTTTGCTTAGAAACTCTCATGTTATACTTCGTAAACTGGAAGCAATAAATAAATTTTGATGCTTATGCATAAATGTCCACGCGTTTGATTATTTAATAAAAAGATAAGTGAGGATAATAATTTAAATAGGATTACTTATGAGTTTTCTAAAGTATTTGATTTAATCTCAACGCCAAAAAATTAAGAATACACATAAGAAAAATAATCGTTTAAGGCTATTAAACTTCTGTTAGAAAGGTAATTCTTACCATGTCTTGGAAAAGAATACTATACCTGTAAGCTATTGCTGTTGGTAAGGAGGAAAGTAAATACGTCTGAATGCGATCTTCGAAACAGAACAATGTGAAAATTCTTTATAAGATTATCAGTTCCTTCACCAACTTGCTAATATCTAGAAAAAAGTAGTTTATACCCAAGAAATAATTAGAAAGCGAAGAAAGGAATGCGTGAAAAAATGAAGAGAAAAGATTGGTAATTCTAAGTGAAATTTGTGAAACGGAGATATAATGAAAAAATTAAGTTAGATTAAAAAGTATACGTGTTAAGTCTTGTTGCAGAAGCTCTAAAATCACAAGTTATAATTTTTCGGCATAAACGTCTTCATTGTTTCATCAAGAACTCTTCATTAGCTTGCGTAGGAACAAGCTTTTAAATATTATTACGACCTTTTTCATTCAAAAGCCAAAATTTCTTGAATCAAGTAATTTTTTTCTTATATCCGTCAGTACCTTTTTAAAGGTATAAATTTATAAAAAAGGTATAAATTTTTTATATAAAAATTTATAAAATATTTTATATCCTTCAAATTTTTAAAAAAACTGATATTAATGTCGCCGTTCTTGCAGCAGAAAATTACATGCAGCTTTCTTGGTCTAAAATATCTAATTCTACCTGAATGGTCTATAATTTTGTGGGGAACGTGGAGTGAGAAAAATTGAAGAGACTGATTATATTGAGTCATTAGGTTATTTAGAAGCAGGAGATGTGAAAAATGTGCAGTGCACTCGCCGGGACTCGAACCCTGGACCTCTCGAATAGGCATCGAGTGTGCTTCCAGTTACACCAAAGACATGCGAAGAGGGGGGAGAAAATACTTTATAGTATCATTATCCGTATGATTTATTAAGATATCCTGGTAAAACTTCTAAGAAACTGCTGTTAAGTTCGAATGTGATGGAAATTTCATATTCCACTGAGATAAAGGCTTTGATATGTAAGAAATATAATGCAAAAATGCGGTTATAAGCAACAGCTGCGCACCTTTATCCAGTCTGCATACATCAATATCATCGAACATTTCTCGTCTAGCTTTGAAACAAGTGTACAGAATATAAAATAGCCAGCAAAGATCATTTGAAACATGTCATGGAAAAGAATTGAGACAAAAAAATTTCAAACGCAACTCTAAAATAGATGGAGTTGTTGTCACGATACTTGCAAAAAGCTTTAAAATTCATGCAACTAAATGTTAACACTTTCTTTCAGAGGTTCGAAATAACAGAGATGAAAGAATTCCTATATCCTCAACTTTTTAAATCCAAAATCTGCAACTGTTTATATAAAACGTTAAATTTTTTTCTGTTTCAGATTCCTATTTTCAACTTTTTTTATAACTGTTAGAAATGAAATATTAGTATAACAAATCTGTGAAATAAAAAACTGGTTGCATTTAGTTGCACTTTATTAATTGCTTTAAAAGCTGCATTTATGTGGAAAACATTTGGTGTATCCTCCAATTTCTGTAATCACTATAAATCTTGGAGACTAATTTGCATGGCTCTCATGACTTGCTTCCATGTGTGGCGTAAATTAAATCTAGTTTCATTTGAAAAGATTTTTATTCCGTAACCAGACAATTCTCAAGAGCTTTTTGTCATAACTTAACCAATAAACTAGCCATTACTTCATTCTTTATTAACTAGTACTGTTTTCAAGCAATAGTCGAAAATATAAATCGAATTCTATTTCAAATATAGTCAATTTTTTACACAAACTGTTCCTCTGAATCACACTTCCCTGAAAACTGGTTAGACATTCATTTCTGTCGATTAAATCTCTGTGCGATTACTCTAAGAATACTTTAAGCTTTTGCAATTCAGATGAAAAAACACATGAGTTTAAGATCACAAGAACACAGAAATGGCGTAAAAATATATATTTGTAATAAAATGAATAATTTTAGGAACATTATTTTCTACGTAAAAATATTATGGCTGATAATTTTTAATAATCCATAAGCTCCTTGAGAATGAAAGTCTTTTGAGTATGAAAACGCTTTTGCTCAATATTTTAAGTCAACGTTTTCTGTTATCTTCCCACCGGCGCAAGTATGCCCTTATAACTTACCTTACTTTATACCTTACCTTTTACACTGTTTTTAAAAAGGAATATATAACCGCAGTTGTTATATATATATATAAAACCCCTTGCACATTTTGCCAGTTCAATCTTAGATTATAATTAGAAAAATTATGTGCGTGATACACATTCTAGTTGCTATGATTAGTAAGTAAAGGCATTAAAGCTGTATACACGCAACTAGAAGTTTAATAAAATGAATTTACCTAAAAATGTACGGCTCATAAATGGCCGAGTGCTTAAGACTGATGAATACTGGGAATTTGACCTGGGTTCGATCGCACGAAAACGGATTGTCTGCACGGTTAGTTTTCGTGTTTTTCGCAATGTGTAGCGTAAATACAAACAAGTTTCCCTTAGAAAGTCCTCTAGGGAAACATCCCCTCTTAAACAGATAGCCATCGTGAGCTTTGCCATATTCAATTAACATAACCTAAAAATTTAAGTGTATATTCAGAGATTAAAATTACAGCTCAAATATAAAGAACTTGTATAAGCTGAAAACGAAGTTTCCAGTAACAGTTTATATAGAAGAATTATGTCAGCTAAAAGGATAGTGGAAAAT